CACATAATCAATAGCTTTAAAAAGTTTAACAATTCCTTTAATAATAACAAAATGTAAGAAAATAAGCTTAGATAAAAATGTGTTGGGCAAAAAAATGTGATTTATAGCTTATTTACATGATTTTTTTTTCCATTTCAGAGTACAGATGAAGCCCACAGACGAAGCCTGCAGATAAAGTCTGCAGATAAAGCCCACAGAAGAAGACCCGCGGTATGTATCAAGTTTTTCAATAATCGGAGTCATGTACCGTATATTTCTGTTTATAATGCGCAGTTTTTTTTACTCTGAAATGTGCCTTGTTGACAAGAGGGATTGTGCTCTTCAAAAGGTTTGCCAATTTGATTATGTGCTCTTTAAAGGGATTGCAAATTAGAGGGATGCGCTCTAATAGGGGCTTGCAAAACTGGCGTTGTCTGAAAGGGGCCCTTAAATTTGCCTTGTTAAAAGAGGGATTGCGCTCTTCAAAAGGGCTTGCCAAACTGGGGGTATGCTCTGAAAATTGCTTGCAAAACTGGGATTTTGCTATACAAAGGGCTTGCAAAATTTGAGATATGCATGATAGACACTGACAAAACTTTGCATGAATTTTCTTTCACAGCAAAAGACCACAGGTGAAGCCCACAGATGAAGAACAGATGAAGTGGAGGGGTCCTCAAGACAGAGTGCCCAATAAGAGGAGTCTCGCCAACAGATGAAGTACCAGGGGTATGTTTCAAGTTATTCAATAATCAGTCAAATACTGTATATTTCGGTTTATAATGCGCATTTAATAAGGGCTTGCCAAACTGGGGTTGTGCTATAAAAAAGGCTTGCCAAACTTAGGGATGAACTTGAAAAAGGGCTTGACAAATGCCAACATTTCTACATGCTTTGTTTTTTTCACAGCAAAAGAACACAGATGAAGCCCACAGATGAAGGACAGATGAAGCCCACAGATGAAGGACAGATGAAGCCCACAGATGAAGGACAGATGAAGTGGAGGGGTCCTCAAGACAGAGTCTCGTCTAACAGATGAAGTACCGCGGGTATGTTTAATAGGATTTCAGTAAACTTAGTTATATACTGTATATTTGTGATTATAATGCGCAGTTTTTCTACTTAAACAAAGTCTTGCTAATCTGGAGTTGTCAAACGGGGGGGTTCTATTCTAAGAGGGTTTGCCAAACTTAGGGATGAACTCGAAAAAAGAGCTTGACAAATGCCAACATTTTACATGCTTTGTTTTTTCACAGCAAAAGAACACAGATGAAGCCCACAGATGAAGGACAGATGAAGCCCACAGATGAAGGACAGATGAAGCCCACAGATGAAGGACAGATGAGGTGAAGGGGTCCTCAAGACAGAGTCTCGTCTAACAGATGAAGTACCGCGGGTATGTTTAATAGGATTTCCATAAGTTTAGTATATTTGTGTTTATAATACGCAGTTTTTTTACTCTGAAATGTGCCGTGTAAAAAGAGGGGATTGTTCTCTTCAAAAGGTTTGCTAATCTTGGATTTTGCTATACAAAGGGTTTGCTAAATTGGAGGTTTGCATATTACACACTGACAAAACTTTGCATGAATTTTCTTTCACAGCAAAAGAACACAGATGAAGTCCACAGATGAAGAACAGATGAAGCCAACAGATGAAGAACAGATGAAGCCAACAGATGAAGAACAGATGAAGTGGAGGGGTCCTCAAGACAGAGTGCCCGATAAAAAGAGTCTCGCCATCAGATGAAGTACCAGGGGTATGTTTGAGTTATTTATTGGCATATGCTGCGTTCGCAAACACGGGCACCGTACTGGCAGTATTTACGACTTGCAACCAAGATAGAAGCAAATTGTAAACGCAACAACCAGTTGTTACGTCGCGCGCGTTATAGTGTTTTAGTTTTTGTTTTCTCATTCTAGATGGAAGATCACAGACGAAGCGGCGCCAACAGACGCAGAGAGGGCCCTCGGAAGAGATTGTTGATATTCAGCATTGATTTGGTCTTTCTGCTTTCTTAATTTTGCATGGTTCTGCTTCCTCGCATTGTCTTTGTTTTTTTTTTCTGATTTTTGCCTCTTAGTTTTTGGTCTTTTGATTTTTGCCTCTTGGTTTTGTGTATCTTGCTATTCACAGTTTTGTAAGTGAAAGTTGACAGTTAAGGTCAAAAGTTAAATGGGATCATAGGTCACTGTTGGTGGGTGAAGTCAAAGGTCACACTTGGCTGTTGGGGTCAAAGCTCACTCATGCCAGTTGAGGTCATAGGTCACATTTAGTGAATATGTGGTCAAAGGTCACTGATGGTGTTTGAGGTCAAAGGTCATAATTAATTACAGGTCAAAGGGTGGGGTCACAGCTACCGATGCTGTTTTCACTGCATAGGGTAGGGTAGGGTTTTTGTACGTGTCCCGGATTTTACTTTAGTTGGGTTTTTGGATCAACCCAGAGAATAGTAAGTCGGTCTCTTTTGTTATTTAATTTTATGGGGGGAGGGGATGTAATATTTGCTCTCTATTTCAGACATTGGTGGTAATATGATCCAGAAGAATGGAGAAGACACCAATGGCCCCGAGGGTAGGCAATAATGCAGGGAGTTCATCGCCCCTGTCCTGCCGAGATGGTTTCCATTCTTTAATGAATTTCATATCTTAATATTTTGTTTTTCTCTTGTAGATATTGCTATATGGGATGAAGGTCGACTCTCGGAAGCACTGGCAGAGGTATCACAATTGTTCTTACCTTGAAGAGGAATCGAAGCCACAACACCTAATAGCCTAGAAGACAGATGTCTTTTGATGTCTGGCAGAGTGAAGAATATTAATCTGAACCTAATATTACCAGGTTAGTTTATACTTTGTTTTATCTTAACGAGGAGCCGCGGTGGCTCAGTGAGTTAGACGCTTGCTAATCTGAAGGTCCAGGGTTTAATCCTGGCATAGGTTGAGATGATACCTTCAGATTTTTCAACCCAGTTTTCCCCTGTCAGTGAGTTAGACGCTTGCTCGCTAACCTGAAGGTCAAGGGTTCAATCCCAGCATAGATTGAGATAATACCTTCAGATTTTTCAACCCAGTTTCCTCTGTCAGTGAGTTAGATGCTTGTTCGCTGACCTGAAGGTCCAGGGTTCAATCCCAGCATAGGTCAAGATAATACCTTCAGATTATTCAACCTGGTTTCCCCCTGTCAGTGAGTTAGACGCCTGTATGTTAACCTGAAGATTGGGTGTTCCATCCCGGTATAGGCCGAGATAATACCTTCGGATTTTTCAACAGTTGGAAATCGAAAAACTCTCGTGACAAAATTTCCCTCATTGCACACTGCATGGCTTTGCTGCAAAGCCTCAATTTGTAGTTTAGAACTCGTAGTAAAGATTTGTGTTTTTGTCTTCAGTCGATTCTAAACTGAGAATTTTATGACTGAAGATAAAAGAATTAAAAACTCAAAGAGAAGGAACACTATTGTATTCTTATTCTGATGATAAAAAGATAGAAAGGATCGTTTAAATCAAGGTTGTGAATATCTTTAGATCCACCCCCACCCTTTTTAAAGATCATAAAAGCGTCGATTAAAGTTGATCATTGGGTAACTCGAAGTGAAATCTTCATTTTAAGCCAGTCTGTATGTGAAACGCGATACAGCAATGGGTTTTAACAGAATCGTTGTTTTTACAGCCGTCGTATCGCTAGTTATTGGACACACATTTCTATTCACCAAGACGTGTTTGAATTCTGCAGTTGTAGAATTAATCAAGAAATTGGAAGATATTCCGTGGGAGATAGACTGTGCCCGTCAGTGTAAGCATACGACTGATTGTCTTTTCATGTTGTTTAAGTCGACCGAGAACCTTTGTCTATTGTTCAACAGTAACGCAAGTGTCAGCGAGTCAGGATGTAACGCTGGCGATCTTCAGCTGTATCAGATGGTAAGTTAGATTTCCCTCATTGCTTACTGCATAGCGTAGCCTGTGTTAGTGATAGAGATCGGAGGGACTGGCGTGGAAAAGCGCTTATTCGGAAGCGTTAATGGATCCCTCGACTGTTGAAATTGAAAAAGAGTAGGCTAATGCCGCTATCCTTATTGCTTACTGCATTGCGTTGCCTGTTAGTGCTAGTGCTAATGGTCGGAAGGCTGTAAATTGCTTAGTTGTTCGGAAGCGAAAATAAACCTAGGCCCCGTTACAGATCCCACGACTGTTCAAATTAAAAAGGGTATGTTAATGCCGCTTTCCTGGCAAATTTTTCCTCATTGCACAGTGCATAGCGATGCCTGTTGGTGAAACAGGTCAGAGGCTGACATGAAAAAAGTGTCTAGTCGTTCGGGTAAACCGAGGCACTGTGTGCTACAGGCTGTACATGTTAAAGATCCCTCGACAATTAGAAATAGAGAAAGTGTCTAGTTGTTCAGATGGGACAATAAACAGAGGCCCTGTGTGTGCTACAGGCTGTGCATGTTAAAGATCCCTCGACAGTTGGAAATCGAAAAAGAGTAAGCTGTTGCCACTGCCCAGACAAAATTTCCCTTATTTAACACTGCATGGCGTTGTCCGTCCTTTGTTGATGAGCTATGGAAATTTTCATAACGTAACATATTACACAGGAAATGTGATAAAGCCGAATTTCAGCTATGTGTGTCCCGTATCAAAATGAAAATTCGGCGCCTTACATGTTAAGTTGGCTTTTAATTCTTTTACAGCACGAAGAAGTTGTATGCGAACATGGTTTTAAACTATCATATGATAAGTG